CTGGTCAGACATTTTTGCATATTTAATGAGTACATCCTTCCGATCTTTTAAATACGGTACTGACACAAAAAATGTTTTCTTCCTTTCTGTATAGGCTGCTTTCATGTACCTCTACGTTATTATGTTCCTTGCAAATGAAAGAGTGTTCCTAATTTACTAAAAATTTAGTAGAGGCTATTATATTAATGAAAATTATGCTTGGCGGAGCCAGTTTTCTTATGATACATGAACTGCTGCTATTCTGATGGCGATGCTATATGATTAATTAACAGTTTCTTCGTAAACATTGAATTTTGTAGGTAGCTTTACATTCCTATATACATTATTAGTCGATATACTGCTTATATTAAAAGAGGTTAATGCAAGCAACGTAAAGGAACTTTATGACAAGGTATCGCGTACCTGTAGGGAATCCTAATTCTTTGCTGCCTCTGCCTAATCCCTTAACGACAGATCCGGAGTAAAACAGAGGCAAATAAGATTCAACTTTGTCCATTTTGACAAAATACGACTGTCTCAAAGGAACTCCGATCGTTGTTACGCTGACGTTGATATGCCTTCGCGCCAATGTGCGACTACTGTAAACCTGATCTGCAGTCTACATTGAATATATTATGACTACTGGCACTGTTTTCTGATATTAAGGAATTATGCAGCAGTTTATTATTGTTCATGGTTTACGTGTACTTGTTATTAATTGATTAACTGTTACGCGGCTGAGCGTAAATTTTAAATATGAAGCACACGCATCAGGCGGCATAGTTGTTTGCCTCCCACGCTCTGGCTTGACCATATCAGAGCATCGTTATGCTCCAATTATTCGCAATTCGATTCTCTTTCCATTTTTGGCTGGTAACACTTATGAAAGTTATATAATGTCTTGCTCAAAATTAAGTGTTTGAAAGAAAAATGTAGATTTTCGGTGGGACGAAGCGTACACAACATAACGTTAAAAGTGGCACTAAGTCTCACTAACTACTCTTTAATATATTTTTGCTATATATGATCAAGCATTGCTTATGAAAAGATAACAAGCAGCTAATTCTTCCGATTTGTGCATAACGTCCGTCACTCCGAGAAGCGGATGGAATTTAGTGCATCAAAATAGCTGTAATGTTCTAACTAAAGGATGCCATGTAAAAGAGTAGAAGGAGCAT